ATTCTGGCCCATAGAAGAAACTACCCAGGCAACATTACCAGGTCAATATCTCGATCATTGTTGACCGACTGGAGGATTAGATCTAACCTGGTAGCTTTACCGAGCCAGTAAGAAGTATGATCCTTTTAAGATTCCTCTTCCAGTTTCCACAGTACTTGAGCCATTATTGCTCTTCCATTTATTTGCACATCTCATTTCCATATACTCTATTATTGACCATTGTCAATCTAGATCCAACAGCCAAAAATAAATAAATAAATGAATTACATAAAATAAAGTAACCCAAAATGATTTTTCAAGCAGCTAGTTCTAACTCCTGATCCATGTGATAAGGCAAAGGCAGAACTTGAAAACAATCAGTTTGAAACTCAGTACTCTTAACCTTGAAAACCTTTAAAAATTAGAAAGAGCAATTGGGATTTAATTTGGGGAATAATTATACATTTCTTAAGAGAATCTTAAATTGTATTGTCATCCAATATTGACTCGATACACATTGTTTGAAACCATTTTACAGAAAGAAACAAGCGACGGATTTATGAAGGAGGAAAAGCGCAGAACAAGGGCAAATTAGATGAACTCACCTAGTTCTCTTCGATTGATCTGTAATGAGATCTGTGAGGAACTTTAAATTATAAACACATTCGGGAATTTAACTGAGGGAGATGACAAATAGCAATTACACCAGATTTTTATAGTCTAATTGAGAAGTTAGGTACCGTACAACAAACATGCCCAACGATTTAAGCAGCAGCAGATTGCTCTAATGCGCCCCAGAAGAATTCAAACCTTGAGCTTCAACAACGGAACAAATTTTACAAACACTTTTGGCATTGTATCGTTAAACGAGTGCAGGTCTTATTTTAGTCCACCAGAACCTCAACTTCCATCTTCAAATCTGAGTTTCCAAGTATCTGCATGCATTGCGGGGCAAATTTTCATTTATTCCATATGCACTGAAATATGGAAGTACAATAATGTCGTGAAAGTTATGATATTACGAGGATGTTTCCCAAAAACACTTTGTATATGACTCATGAATGCTGGTTTTCCTTAAAGGCCTGTTCCCTAGTGCAGATAACCTGTTTGCTTACATTAAGATGATATTAATTAGAACAACTTCACACAGTGTTCATGAACTTAATGAGGCCTTAAGATTCAGGAAAATCACAAGATTTCTCCATCACATTTCTTCATCAACAGTCAACATAATCACATCCCGTAACTTACACTAACTTCCATAGTTTTATGTATATCAATGTCAAATACCATTCACGGTAATGTGGTTTTAAAGTTTGCATTTCTAGAACAAGCCAAAGATACAAATGCTTCTTTACTTCACCATCAAAATTCCTGACTCAGATAACTAGACAAACTCTTGATGAACACTAGCCCAAAGGGCAGGAAGACATTATATGAAACTCAAAAGCATGTCTTAGAATTAATAAAAATAAAAATAAAAAATAGAAGGAAATTTTTGTATGAGTTTGTTCCTACAAGAGGATTTTATTGATAGAAAAAAGTGTATAGGAAAAGAAAATGAAAACCCAGGTAACGAAGAGTACATAAGCGAGCCAAAAAGAAAATGATAACATTCTAGAAATCATGTTACTCTCTGTACAAATCCTAATAAAAAAATAAAGGAAAATTAAACCATCTATGCTGCAAGCATGTCAAAGTAGTTGCAATTAAATGTCATAGTACCTTAACAAAGTCCGATAAAACTATTAAGGAATCCTTTGTGTAGCTTGCTTCCTCAAGAACACGCGTCAGAACTTGCTGCACAAAACACAAATGCACATCTACTTCAAGGCATAACTCTGATTTAGCCTCAACAATCATGCTACTTGGTCATCATGAGTTAGATATAAGAGGGAGGCTGTTATAATGTCACTCAGGCAGAATTCAAAATCTTAGCATAAAAAGGTGCTACCAATAGATGAGTTAAACATTGCCTAATTAGATACTAAAACCATGAATATATAGTCTTCTATAATTGAAGATCTGAAATAATGAAATCCTCCACAAACTAAACCTCATGCAACTATATCACTCTACAGAATCACAGAAACTTTTAAAATCATAAACTTCGGTAAGTAACTGAAAGTGCAAAGAAGATTGAGAATAACCAACCTCTCTTTGTTGCTCGGATATAAAATTTCCAGTCAAATCACGCAAAACATCCAGCATATCATTAAATGTAACTTTCCCATTTCCATCTGAATCATACACCTTGAATATAACTACAATATAAGCAAACACCAAAAATGAACGAAAAATTAATGGTTATGCGAAAAAAAAAAAATGATAATAATAATAATCTAAATCTTATTAACTTAACCAAAAACTGAATCATAAATAAACCCTTACATTCAATTTTCTGTTGCAAACTCGCACGTGGACTGAATGCAGACAAAAATGCCACAAAATCCTTAAAATTCAATCCATCTAGCATCCTCAACAACCTCTGATCATCCAATTAACACAAACTAACAATAAATCCATCATTTCAAAAAAAAAAAAAAAATACAAATACAATTAACGTGTGCATTTTCACACATTAAAATATGCCTTAAATCAATTGTTTTTATGTTCTTATCTGTTTGGTTTAAAACTAAAAATAATTTACAAAAGCTAAGATATAATCCAACCTCTAAATTGCATCTCAGTTCTTCTAATCTCTAAAAATGCATTCAAAACACTGTCCAGACTCAAAAAATATAGCACCAGATTTACACTAATAACTAAAATTACATCTGAAAACTATTTTTTACAAATATTACAACTTCCACAAATTTTTTATCAGATTTTTTTTGAAGGGAAAAATATAAACACGCACAAACATAATTCACTTAATTAGAAGAAGTGGACTGAATGCAGACAAAAACGCCACAAATTCCTTGAATCAATCCGTCTACCATCCTCAACAACCTCTGATTATTCAAATAACAAAAACTACTAATAAATTCATCATTTCTCACAAACAATACACATATTCTCACATACACATAAATACATGAAGAGAAATCTTAAAATAAGCCCTAAAATTTCACTTGTTTTGATGCTCTTTATCTGTTTTGTTTATGAACTTATACTAATTTCCAAAAACTAACATATAATCCAAACTCTAAACCGTATCTCAGTTCTTCTAATCTCTAAAAATGCATTCAATTTAATATTCAAACACTGTTTTAGACTCGAAAAATATAGCACTATATCTACAGTAATACCTAAAATTATTAATTATATATGAAAACTATTTTTCACAAATATTACAACCTCCATAAAATTTATAACTTCAGCGTACATACAAGAGAGAGAGGATTGACGGCGAATTCAGGAACGTTGAGGAACTCTTCACCAGAGATAAAACCGCCATTACTGCGATCCAGCTGGCAAAACCTCTGGTACAACGACACAATCTCCTGCTGCGAAACTGATCAAAGAAACGTTCATAAAAAAAAATCAGTCGAAAAATCAAAATTCAAAACCAACGGCTCGTGAAGAAACAAACAACTGAATTAATTAAGAGTTCAAGATTGATTATTAATTGTTACACGTGTTGTTGCAGTGGCTTTGGACTTCTTCGATGTCGTATTGAGTGAGCATGGAGGAGGTGTTACCCATTGCGTGGCGGCCGGAGGGAGGGGGAGGAATCGACTGCAACGAGACGTCGGGGAGTTTTTACTGAGGATTTGGATGAGAAAGTTTGTTCATTGACACGACCGAGGTTGTCTAGTTAGGCGAAAGAGGTTTTGAGTTTTTGGGGGGCGAGTGCCAGACTGCCAGTGTACGGAATATTTCGGAGGGTTCTGTTTGGATGCTTGGTTATATTACTCCGACTTAGAATAAGAATTGTCAACTCCACGTCAAAAACTACATGGCGGATAGAAATCATTTGTTTTTTAATGAACTTTTAATAATTTTTTACATTTTTATTTTAGGGTAACATAGAACTTATAAATAAATAAATAAAATGAGACTATCAACCAAAATTCCCATGAAGACGGTCATCTGCGTGTCTTATAATGATATAATTATGATTTTACGATAAATTTAAAAGAGAGTGATCAAGATCACAATTAAACGATAAAATCGTAATTCGTGTGATACCTCTTGAATATAAATAAGACATCGAAAGTAACCCTAAATTAAATATATTTGTTACCACATTATTGAATATCTACCTACTAAAATCCAATACATTTAATAAACTATAAATTGACTCAAACATCATAGGCCAACAAATATCCTTTTATCCCACGCTTGTTTGTTCATATTTGCAAGTATCAAAAGCTTATTTTCTCAACGATGAGACTTCGGGTTCGTTTGATTCATTATTCTGATAGGTTTTAGAATAATATTTTGAAAAAAGTTAAATTAGGCGGGTATTACAATGTAGGATTTAGAAATTAACAAAAAAATCAATTTTGTTTGTTTATTTACTAAATACCCCTATAATAAAATATTAAAAGTTAACAAAAACACCTTAACTCACTCATTAAATACGAACAACAGACCACCACCACTGAAGGGTGGCTGGAGTGTTTTTGCAATTTCTAAAAAAAAATATTTGGGAGTGTTTAGTTAAATTAATAAATTTAAGAGGTTTAAAATAAATTAAAAAATATAGAATAATATTTTAGGAATAATGACATTTTACTATTTAACTTTTTTGGGAATATTAATAATAGTATTCTCAAAAGCGAAACAAACGAAGCCTTTATCTTTTGGGTTTATATCCACTATCATCTCCAACCTTAAAATCCAAGGTTTGAGTTAAATCATTCTAACACAAATACAATTGATTGACGCTCCTAAAAATTGAAATTAATAAATATGATATCTTTAATTAAAAATATAAATTTTTAGATAAAATTAATATAACAATTATTCATATCACATTTTTTTTATAACAACGATAATGATGATATGATAAAACATGATGTTTAAAAAAAAAAAAAATACATCCTCGTTATAATTTATAAAATTATACTTATACATACCCTAAAGATTTAATAATATTTACCAATTAAAGAAAAATATACTTAAGAGTAAAGAAAAATATACCTAAACATATAAATTATTAATTAAAAATGACTTATTTTCAGGTGTGGATAGGCTATTCCTGCAGCCAAACATCACTCAAATACATTTTAGAAGC